TACAATAACACGTCTTTCGAACCAATATACTTACACGATTACACGATACATTACATTTTTGTTCTCGTATACTACTTACGTAGTATAGAGCAAGTATCGTAATGGAGCAGCAACAAACGACGATTCTTTAACAAGCCACTTTGCATACGCCTGCTATAGCCACCGGCCGCGAAGATGTTTCACGAGAATTTATAGGAAATAATTAATGTAATACGTCAGCGTTCCTCACACATTAAACCGACAGCCAAGTAACATTTCCCAATGGAGAGAACAGAATGGCGCGTCGCGCTATCTCCGAACGTGCGGGAGGCGGAGGCATTCGGAAGTCGCAAAACGCGACCGGAAGGACCGACTATCCGCTCGCCCCCCCCCCCCCCGCGACAAAGCATTTCGAGATAGTAACCGTCAAACGCGTGTAGGATGTTAGCTGACAGCGTAGCTAGAAAGAGGTTTAAAGGGAGCGGCTGACAAGTCCCAAAAACAAAAACTCGCCGCGACATCCACCTCGGGAGGTAGAAATCCTCTCTGCGATGAAGCTTCGCTTACAGCTGAATTGGCCCACGTGAACGAACCAGTCCTCCGTCCATGTACCACCTCATTCAGTAATCGGATCCTAGGTCCGTGAGAAACTGCGAAATTCCAATTCTACCTTTCGAAGTCGAAGGTGTTGGAAAACTCTGTGTGCCACCCACCCTTCCACCAGCGTCACGAATGTCGCAGATGTCACCGCCACCTCCACAGCCTCCCGCCGCTCGCTTACATTTTCAGAAGCCCAAGGGCAGCGTATCAGCGCCGACACGTACATGAAGGAAGGGCTAGAGAATGATTCAATTCACTACGGCCACGTTCTCAGAAGCCTAAGCACTTCGAGTGCGTTCGATTCTTTCCTTCTGCCCCTCCGCCTCCGCCTCGTAGAAGCGAGGCAGCCTGGGGCTCTCGTGCGCGCGTGTCGGGAAGGAGCTGTCGGTGAATTCTCGGCTATCCGGGAGACGCCGCGTTGGCTGGAAGGCCGACGTTTCGCCTGACATGTCGCGGGCTTCCTCAGGGCAGTGACACTGCGGCGCTACGCGCCCGGTGATTTAAACTATCCTGCCTGGGCTCTCGGATAGCCGAGAATTCATGGATTTGAGCCGCGGAAGCTTACGTATACAAGGAGCTGTCGGGGCGTGGGGCCGAGGGCCTATGACGCAAGCGGTCGAGTCCTCGGCATCGCCGGTCTTCCCTCACCCAACAGCCTCGCCAGCGAGATTACACTAGTTGCAGACATGAACACACTCTGACAATTAAAGGCATTGGGCCGATGCGGGTAGCAGAGATCGCTAAGCCAGTAGTGCGCTGGCGGTTCCGACTTCCGCCTCGGACATGGTGGTCTTTGTGTGTGTGTCTCTGTATGTTAGTGAATGCCCATTTCATTCTTTATCATTATCATTTCACCTCATCCTCCATGGCTAACGTCCCCGGGTGTAAAATTGGATTCAGCATGAAAATGCTGATCCCCCCTATAAATATGACCGAGCCCCGGTGGATTGCACGTTCGCGTGGTGCAGATGTAGCCAAATCGCGAAATAAAAAAGAAATAAATAAAAATTAAGGCATTGTAAAGAGATTAGAGAACATTAAATGTGGTTGTTCCGAACATAGGCTGCGTCCCGACGCGTAGCGATGACGGTAGCTGCCGCGAAATGCGAGCTCTGCGGATTCAAATCCCGCCTTGGACTTCAGTTTAGTGGTGTGGCATGGTGGCGCCCATCCTAAATAGCATGCAGCGCTTTTGATACCCTACTTCTTCTCAGACCTCTCGCTGTCCGAACAGCGTTGTGTGACTGCCTGCGGGCCAGAGGGAGTAAGTTGCACAATGTGTCTGTGAACTGCTTTGTGAGCAGCGTGGGCTCGCCACTACCAAGGCTCCCTGCACGAAAAAAAAAAAAACAGTTGCAGTATACCAGATCCATGTTACTGCAACTAATTCTCTTGTTACAGTATCATCGATCTGGTATACTGCAACTGTTATTTTTTTCGTGTAGTAATGGTACATATACGTGTGTACGTAAGGGACGAGGAAAAGACAAGGAAGAGGAAAGAACGATCGCGATCGCGCGCGGTCCGTGGCCCGTTAGGGGCTGCTCCGGCAATCGCTTGGAGTTGATAAGAGACTACCACGGAAAACTACCGATCAGAGCAGCCGTCCTTTTAAATTCTCCAGGCATCGGCTGAATTCGACCTAGCTACATAGCTAGCGTCGCAAATTCTGCCGCCGTAGGGACTGGAACCACACCAGTTGATGCCCTGAACCATCTAAGCCGGTTTTCATTTTGAATATCGATTTTTGGTGACATCGACGATGCATCACTACTATACTTCGATTTTTCTATTGTGGCCGATGACATTAGGTCATTGTTACAACTCCTGTCTTGTAAAATGAATCTTTTTAATTAAATGGCTAACGTCCTCAACGGGGCCTGTGGCCTCAGAAATGTGCTCACCATTGTTAAAAAGATTCATTTTATACTGCAGGACGAGTAACAATGACCTAATGTCAACGGCCACAATAGAAAAATCGAAGTAGGAAGAGCAGAGCCACGGTGGTGAAGTAGCGAAATTTGCGTGGTGAGACGGAACACCAGCCCCGATGGCCCGAGTCTGGCCTCGTAAAATGAGGTATGAACTAACTACTAGGGAGTAGGGATGCGACATTGATGTTGATGTTTTAAACATCCATGTAATAACACCGATGTTTTTAACGTCGATGTTTTCCGATGTTTTGTTCCTGAATGAAAAATGACACAATACTATAAAAGTTAAAATATGAAATAAGAACTGATAGTAACACTTATTCATGTGTTGGAACCACAGGAACGCTGCTTGCACTACCTTCATCGACGAAACTCTTTCGCCCGAGATGACCTCCATGCCCTTGAATTCCCTCTTCTTCGTATTCATTTCGCACATGGAGATAAGATCCACAAATACGCTGTGGGCCTAAGGTTTGCCCTTTCTTCTCGTACTCTTTATTCCGCGAATTGAAAATACGAACCCTGTCAAATTAGATTTTAACGCACACAAATTTAATGTTACTAATACAGTCTACAAACATCGATGTTGAGAAAAGACCGATTGTTTTTCGACGATGTAGCTTTAACGTGGATGTTTTAATTGTGAACATCGATGCCGCCTCACTACTAGGGAGGGCAGCACCGCGGCGTGACCTCCGCCTCTCGCCCGCCCGCGCAACAAACCCGTTCTCGCGCTGCGCTGACGCACGTGAAGACACGGACGCGAACGCCCCCAACGACTCCGTCGACGGCGCGTCGTAAAAGTGAGTTGGAACAAAACTGGGCCGCTTGTGGCAGTGCGGTGCCAGCGTTACAGCCACTCTGGCCGCGAGGCCCTAGGGATCGAGTCCCCACGGGGGCAGGATTTCCGACCTATTTATCCGCTCACCCTACCCTTCGGGAGCAGGTAACGAAAAAGTGGATAAATCTTGTTCCTCTACATAGTAAATTACTTCCTCTAACACGCGGTGTGGTCAGAATCGATGTTTTGAGGGTTCTTTCAGAGGCGTAGCGGATTCTTCGTTGGGAAACCAAGATCAAACGAGCCCCTGGTCGAAGGGTTTAAAAGACAAAGACTGACGAGACTGTCTAGATTACAGGACGATTACTCCAAACCTTTGAGGTCAGGAGGTAGCTGTAAAACACAACGTTGTTACAAATTGTAAAACAACATTTTTTTAAAAAACCTGTGTTAGAGCCGCCATGCCAATACAGAACGCGCAACGTCACTGGCCCCAGGGCGCCTAGCACTCCTAATATCCAGCGTACGCAGGTGGCCGTGATTTCCCACAACCTGTGACGTCACGGCGGGCACTTGGGAAGCCCCCTCCGCGTTCTTCCGGCCGCGACTCGACTCGACGTTGGGTGTCCCCTTCGCGCGATTTTTGCAGGAAAGAGTTCCCGTACGGGGAAACGTGTGGGCAGCGCACGCTTCCAAGAAAAAGGCAGGCTGGCTGGCGCAACGCGATGGGCGCCGCGCCGCGCCGCGCCTCGCGAGGTGATGCAATTGGGTCAGGTCGTAAATCCACGCAGAGCCCCCTGAGCCGCCGAGAGGAGGGAAAAAGAAGTTTTCGTGAACGGTTTTCGCGTCTCACATCTTCCTTATCCGGACAGCTTGTCCAACCGGCACAAGGATATCTATCTACCTATCTATTTACCTATCTATCTACACATCTATTTTCCTACATATCTACACATCTATTTACCTATCTAACTATATATTTACCTATGTATCTATCTAACTATATATTTACCTATCTGTCTATTTACTTATCTATCTATCTATCTATCTATCTATCTATCTATCTTTTCATCATCTATCTATCCCATGCCCCGGATGGCAAGATCACACTCATCTCACAAGTTGAATCCTACCCCAAGTGACTTGACTTTCCTCTCTTGCGTCCCTACAACGTCTAAAAGAAATTGTTTGATACAGCGTAGCACGTAACAAAACGTATTACACACAATACTTTTTCTTAATTACAATGAATACTGACTTTCCAAGTTGTTCGTTAACACGAGAGGGTTATTATCCTACTAACTCTTCTGAAAGTGTTGGTGACACCAACTCTATATGGAAAACATCGCTGTTTTACTAACTTCGGAATTATTACAGATTGCATAATACATACGCAGTAAGAAATAGGGATTGAAGCAAAAACGTCTCAATTGTACAATAAGTCATTTAAATTTGCGTATTCAGCATTGATCTTGGCAGCATTTCAGAGCTGATCACATATTAAGAACATTTAGGATATCCACCGCTTCCACTTTGAGTTTCTAACACAAAGAGCAATGCAATCGCCAACGAAAATACAATTTTAGGACATGTAGGAGTCAATGTAGTCACGGTATGACTTATTAGGTCAAATTGAGAATGGACAAAAGTAAATATAGTGTTAAGGTAAAACGCGGCAAATTTTAATGCCAAGTTGTTTGTTTCAGAATCAAAGATGTTCGGAATATTGGACTCGTTGGCCGGGTTCATCAAGATCCGCTATGTGGCCGACAAGCCCATCATTGACAGCACCATCGCACGCCTCCACTACAGAGTCACTGCTGTGGTCTTGTTCGTGGGTTGCCTTCTCTGCACTGCCAACTCCCTCATCGGTAAGCGAAAAATGTCTCCTTCAATTTTCTTTTTTTTAATTATCCAGTAATTCACTTTGAAGTATTTGCAACAGATGTAACTCAACTGTATAGAGGGTAACATTAATGATAAATATCCCTTGAGTTAACTCTTTTTTGTCTTCGAAAGATTTATATATAGTTACGTAAATACGCAGAATAATACTAAATTAATATAATTCATTTAGGGCGATCATTATTACATTTATATTAACAAAGATCATTACACATGTGTATGGTTACAATATTACAATCGTCCTTGATGCGATATTTAATAAAACAAATCAGTTTACCAAATGTACTACTAACTTGCCCATTTTATAATATAAAATACTACAAAAAAAAAATTATGGGTATTAGAAATAATTCCATAAATATTTAATGAAAAGTAGACAAAAAAGTTTTCTTGATGTAAATAAGGGATTCGTTTTAAAATCTTTCAGTTGCTATTCAGAACATGATGTCAATCAGCTTAATATCTGGTCCTGCCATGTCCCTCCGCAGGAAACCCGATCGAATGCATCCACAGCGACGAGCGCATGCAGAAAGTGCTCAACCAGTACTGCTGGATCAGCTCCACGTTCACTCTGCCCGCGGCGCAGGGGCAGGTGGGCGTGCACATGGCCCACGCGGGCGTCGGGGCGTACGCCTACAACGGCCGCTACGCGCCGCACCCGGGCGTGCGCGCCCCGCACGTGTCGGGGGCGACGGGCGAGGAGCGCTACCACGCCTACTACCAGTGGGTGCCCTTCGTGCTCTTCTTTCAGGTGAGCCGCGTTTGGGCCCAGACAGCAGGCGCTTACCCCTCGCGTCCCGGCGAGACAACACACTTGCCGACTGCTCCGATCTGCGGTCGGCAGAACGCGAGGCCCTCCGCGACAACACGTGCGTGAGAGGCGAGAGACAAACGTGCCCAAGGCGGGACTCCAACCCGCGACCCTTTGCACCGAAGGCTCTTAGCCACCTCGGCCATGCAGGTCGGCGACGGGAATTATCCTCCGCAATAGCGCCCGACACGAATGCACGAACACAGAAAAGAATGGAAAAGGCCGTTTTCGCCTCAAAAATCGAAACGATGCACCGTTTATTTAGTACTGTAACACGTTTCCTTGTTACAGTATCATGGATCTGGTATACTCCAACGGTTCTTTTTTTTCGGTGACCCCTTAGACATCACCGGACGGATGCTTTAGAGAAGTTATCTGACAGTGGCGACACTGGGGTTGTCAATGATATAGACATGAACAGTCGAAAACGATCCCACTATGAACAGAATATATGTTTACAACCAGAAATACAAAAGCGTCGACGAAAAACAAAGAAAAGATTAAAAGAAAAAGGCAGTTTAAGAAAATGTCGCAATTATATCACGACGCCAAAATATTTGTTTAAGCAGGCGCGGATCCACGGGAAGGGAAATCCTCCCCATACATTTGTTTCAGTAACTATTAATTTTAACATCGTCACAAAACTTTCAAAGAAAAATATATTCGGATAATCATTACAACAAATAAAATCGTATCGCAGTACGAGCCGAGTGTAGCCTGCGACATTTTACTAAATCTGTAGCATAACACATTCGATCAAAACATTTTGAATTTCCACTCCCAAAATTTGAGTCTGGACCCGCCCCTGGTTTAAGTAGCACTCTGACGTCGTGTTCTGTCCGCAGGGTTTGCTGTTCTACGCGCCCCATTGGTTTTGGAAGAACTGGGAAGACGGTAAGATCCGCCTTCTCAGCGATGGCATTCGCGGGACACTCGCAGAAACTCGAGAGGGGCGAAAGGAACGCCAGAGCAAACTGGTGCAATATGTAATCGACACGATGGATATGCACAACTGGTATGCTCTGGGGTATTACGTGAGCGAAATTCTCAACTTCGTCAATGTGGTAAGCCAAAATTTACTAATTATATTAATAAGATCGCCGGTGAAGTATAGATCTTTTAATAATTAAATAAATAAAAGATGTTGTCCGGTAACAAATAAAAATTTAAGATTATGAAGATCTTTTCGATCGCGTAGCGACGATTCTCAGAGCTATCTGAAAAATTATAGGATTACATTAAATATATAATGAAGTATAAATTATACAAATTATTTATAAAATGTTATAAACAAACTGGGTCGTACATACCTTGTGGCATCTGGTCGCAAATCGAAGTTCTGCGATTTATTGAAATTATCAATACTTCGTTTCGCAGTTTGCTTATGCATCTGGCACAGGCCCTACTATGTTAACAATTTGTAAACATTTTGTAAATAATTTGTATAATTTATACTTCATTTTATATTTCATATATTCCTGTAATGTTTCAGATAGCAGTGAGGATGATCGCTACAAGATCGAGAAGATCTTAATTTTAAATATATATATTTGATACCAGACATCTTTTATTTATTTAATCAAATTATACTTTATTTTCTTTAGAAAAACAAACAAACAATTGTTAAGTAAGTTCAATGTTCACAGATTGGTAACATTTATTTCACCGACAAATTCTTGGGTGGCAAGTTTCTCTCATACGGAATAGTAGCTCTAAAACCAGTGGCAGATAATGAAACAAGTCCGTTTGTGGAAATTTTCCCTCGTGTAACAAAATGCACTTTCCACAAATTCGGTCATTCAGGTAGGTTCTAGTTTTCTTTATTCGCTTAAACATTTCTATTATTCATATTCTCATTCAAATGAATACCTACAAAAATAATTAAAAGTGACAAATTTCTACAACATGGCTTTTGTTTTGCAGGAACCATCGAGGTCATTGACACAATGTGTGTTCTTGCCCTGAACATCCTCAATGAGAAAATTTACATTTTCCTCTGGTGGTGGTTCATTTTCTTGGCTGTAATATCTGGCCTTGCACTATTTTACAGCTCTTCAATAATTGTTTCTCCTGCCATTAGACGCAATATTCTTTGCAGGCGCTTTAAGTTCAAAGTGATAGAAGGCGCAAGAGCAATTGTCAACAACACAAAGGTAAAGGTCTTTTTCTTCAAGTACCCTTCATATCTTTTCAATTAATCATAATAACTTATTAGTTTAAATGCATTGTTAAACTTGAAGCCTATTTTTACGGTTTAGTAATAAAGATTTAGGTTTCCCTATGAACTCACACTCTAGAAATTTTATCTTTGTCGACAAATCAATTTTAAAATACCATTTTTCTTTCAAGTCCACTGCTTCATTAATAATCTGATTTTGAAATATTTTCCCATAAAGGAGGCATAATACCTCTTCACTAATGTAATATGTATGTATATTTTCTAGGTTGGAGACTTCTTTTTGCTGCATTTACTGGGTCAAAATATTAACATGGTTGTTTACACTGAATTTCTTGAAGAACTCAGCATCAAATTAGGGGGTTATGCTCCTAATGCTCCTAATTCTGCTACCATAGAAAGACAACCAATATATCCCACAAAGCAAAGTCTTCTGCCTGAATAGGCTTCTCAAAGAATAGGGTATATATTGTCGATACACAAAGTAATGTGTTTCACTTGTGTATTGACAATATGTGCAAAAGATGAGCTCTGATTTTTTGAGTTGATTACATCACTAAGTCACATTTTTTCTTTTCTTTTAATTTGGTGCTCTGGAGTATGGGAGTATTAAATTAATGTTATTTACTTTTTTAACTAAGTTTCAAGATCAGTTATGATACATAGAAATCAATCTTTGAATCTGATTTTTTTTGTTTCATAACAACAACATTAAGTATTAAAATGTATTAAAAAATATGCTGTTTTACCCTCAATTTAGCAATGGACCCGAGTTTCAAATGTATGATGTTATGTTCGACTTTTGAAAACAAAATTTCATTTTCAGTTATTTATGTTGTTTGATACTGCACAATTTTATTTCCCACATTGCATTTCTAACAATTAAAAAATAATTATTAATTTCATAAATTTTGCTTTGAAACCAAAACCAGTTCTTAAATCTTAATATCAGTAAATGCATATTTTACTGAAATGTACTGAAATATCTGTACATTATCTGCACTTTAAGTAGGTAATTCATATCATATGTTGATCTCAAAATGTATTGAAATGATGACAATGAAAGGATGATACAATTTTATCATATTTATCAAAATGAACTTTACATTCCTAATATTCTATACATTCTATCACATAGTAAAAATGTAGAAAAATTCTTATATCCAATGTGAATATGTATTCATAATTAAATTTATTATTATTATTATTGTTATTATTGAAGAGGAAGACATTATTTGTACTTAAATCAACATATAAAGGCCAATTTTTTAATTTAAGTTCCTTCAAAATAATGTAAACTGTGATCATATAATAGGTAAATAGAACATTTCCTATACTTTATGCTTCCAAACAAAGTGATGGGCAATCGAGGATTACAGTCTTTAAGGCTGAAAACATCTTTATACATAGAGAAATAGCCATATTATATATAGCAATAACAATTCATAATACTTTACAAATAATTATAAGCATATTGTATTTTTATACCATTATTGTACATTGAAATTCTATTGAATCATTATATTTTACTATGAAAAATTCACCAAGTATGAAATAAAAGAATGTATGCACAAGATGTTAAAAAATTCCATTTGTAATGTCCAGAATACAATTTCCAGTATACATGTCTTTTTTATTTTTTCTTTCTTTGTGTCTTATTTTCCCCCAGTAACGATGTATGAATATAAGCACAAGTCTTATTAAAGATTCATTCATCAGAATTGTAGCAAGTCATAAGAGAGAAATATTTTAAATTGGTTTAAATAATCCATATTGCATTTTGAAACTATACTTCAAAATATGTTTCAATTTCTCTTACTAGTTTTCTGAACATTTTAATGTAAAATTGATAGAATCTTATTTTTTTAAGAAAAAGTTTCTCTTTAAAACTTGATTGAAAGTGACAAATTTTCAGTAAGATAATGACTTTTCAGGTAAATAAGAAATTAATTCCTTTCATTCTACATTTAATCAAAATGTATTCAAGTTTTCCCTTACCCACATATATTTTATAAACATGTCAAATATATCATTATTTTTTATTTACAAATTTAAATTTGCAAATTGTTTTCTTTCTGGATATTTTTTAACACCTTATATTTTTAAATGAAAGTGTCCTACCTGTTCCCCCAGTCAATCTTGGCAGTAAGACGTATTTGAAGTTCCCGCGTCTGGTCTTGAGTGAGGGTGCCAGTAAGAAGCTGCCTGCGCCAGTCCAACATTTCTCTCATCACTTTTCTTAATGCACTGAATTTGTAGGTCTCTCGCTCCTAAGTCACGATATTGCAAAATTAGATAGTTCTGAGGCACTTTTGTATATAATGATGTAAGACAATTACCAAATACAGTAAAAAAAAAGTTCTAATTAACAAAATAATGTATCTTAACCTGTTATAATTTCAAACATTTTAAGAGCAGTGCTATATTATAATAATACAATTTCCATCAACTTGAATGATTACATGAAAATCAAGAATCTTCTATCAAGCTAAAAGATGAATTTAGCATTCATGAATATTTGGTAATTCTCACAAACCATCAGATTTACTGAAAAAATTAAGAGAATGTGCACTTTAACATTTTTCTTGTCTTATCCAAAATTCATTATATAATTTGAATAACACTCTATAAAAAGTTTTAATTGCAATGACGTTTACATGAATCTGAATTATTTTTTTACTTTGTTGAGAGCCAAAACAATTCATAAAAGCTGCCAATTAAGAACCTTAATCATGGATGCCTATCTAGATAGAATTAAACTCTCAAAAAGTTTATGCTCTAAAATAGATTAAGCTGAATATATAATTCATTGGCTCCAAATGCCTTGCTCAAGTGCATAGTAAATCAATTGGGGAGTGATTCTAGAAGAGGATCACAATAAAGGGATAATGGAAGCACGAAACAAAATATTGTTTTGAAATTTGAAGGGCCCATCCCGTCTTAAGCTTGTTACCATTGAGTTCTAATATTTCACTTCTTTGTTTTTTAGCACATGACCGAAAGTTCAGATGTTTGTATTCTATTTCCATCTGTCTCTCCTTAAGTACCCATTTTTCATACACAAATTATTTATAAAATATTGTCCTAATATAAAATATCAGCTGAGTCTCTCTCCAACTATTTCAAAATGATATGCTTTATATAACGTTTCTGATTGAAGTTTTGAATGTTTTTCATCTCTATTGTTACAATTTTAATGATCAAGATAGACACTTGTTCTAAACAGATTTTTTTTAACAAGAACATTTCCCTAGAATCATCATAGAAGTAAGAGAATAGGATGGTATAACAAGAGCACTGAGTGTAATTTGCAAAAATACTATTAGTCATAAGAATCTTTTATGACTTCTTTGTCCATAACGAAATATTTACAATTTTTTTATTTCCCACTAATAACTATTACCTTCCTGCTTTCGTATATCCTTTCCATGTATTTAGAAAAATAACAATAGCATCATAGGCAGAAAGCCTGTCTGTTGAATCTGACAAGAAGAAAAGCTGATTCTTGCTAATTAGTCTCTCAGGACCCTTTCAAGTATTATACTTGACAGAATTATGTTTGGCCAGGTGGGACACAAAGGTTCAGGTCATGTCCCTGAGATGGAGGTAAAGCAATGCGGAAATCATGAGCTCTTTTCAGTGTCACCACATATCAGTCAGTGACATGGCTGGATAGCCCATTTCGCCTTGTTTTCAGCTCTTCAGATACGGACAAACTGCATGACTGGTGTTTTTCATTTCATCTTAACTTTTCAACTTTATTATTTAGAGAAAGATTACGTAAAGTTCTCATTCACTGTTTACAATTATTTCTCAGGAAATTTACTATTACTGTAACTACATGAATTAGTTGCAAAGGAGATACCATACACTTTCTCAAAAGTATATTTCTTTTCATTTTATCAAATACTTCGTTGAAATTACAAGAGGCAAAATGTCATCTTCAATAAAATATTTAATCTACTTATAATAGGTTGTTTCAGTATTAAAACTTACTCATCGAAAAGTTTACAACAGAAATTACATTAAAAAATGTGAAATCAATATCAAAAACTAAAAATGCACTTAAAAGCAAAAAATAATAATTTGGAACATATTTTGTCTTTGGTTGGGCCAATGTATTTTTTGACAACAAATCTGGCATTTGAAAACATCAAACCAAAACTTAAAAAAAAAAATGTTCTTTTTAGCATGTGAAGTTTGTTCTGAATTTAATTGTGTGAAATTTGGCTATAATGTGTGTAACTTGATCGTTTTTAAAGCTAAAATAACTTTATATACACTGTTGTTATGGCAGAGAATGGTCTCATGATATACAGAATCAACTTCGAGACATACATATAGATTGAGATATATAAATTCAAGATCCTAAAGCTCATTTTAGAATGTTCTCCGTTTGTGTGCATTTGTGGCATGGGGACTTTCCCAGATCCTCACATATCACCTTTGCACTCTAATCCACCTGTAATTCCTTTGTCGTGACATGTCACTGTGTATGTGTGTGAGATGTGTGAGATCTGTGAGAGATCTGTGTGTTATCTGCAGTCACAGCTCGTGCTTTTGTAAATAGGGAAGGCTGCAAATGCATTGCATTACATTGCATTGCATACATTGTATGTACATAATCTCTTCCAATACAGACATAAGGGAGTAGTGCTCCTTCCGAATATTGGGAAAATTAGTTGATGTTTAACGCTACTTGCATAGTAATGCTATCTGCTCTTCTTCAGATCCTAGGCCCCCCGCCTTGAAGTGCGGAGTGAAGAGGGTATTATTTATGTACTGTAGATTTGATATTATACATTATTACTATTATTTAAATAATTACATAATTTGAACATAAATATTTGAATCAATTTTTCCAAATAAAGAAAGGTAAATGAAAACTCTAGTTGTTTTTTTTTAAGTGTGTGTGATTTTTTATGTGTATGATGTCTAGGAGGATAGCCAGAGCTCTTTGGGCTCAAATACTATGGTCTAATGCAAATGCAAGAAATGTCACAGATCCCTTAAGCTTCTTTCTTATCTCAATATTTGGTTATGAAGTTTTGATTACCTGTTAAATGTAGTTTTAATAAGCCTATTTTCTTGTTTCTAAAGCCTTTAATGTTCCATTTTATAGCTTCAAAACAATAACTATAAAAATGTAATATCAAGAAGTTATATAACATTAAAAATAACTTTTAAAAAAGTACAAATATTAAATCAAAATTAAAGAAGTCAGTTTTATATTTTATTAATGATATTTACTGATCTTATAGGCTTTTTTGAGAGTATTTAAAATACAGAAATCAGGTCTAAAGGTGTCATTTTATAGCAAAGCTTCTTTCCCCTTCATTAATTAATTTTTTAAATGGAATCAATAAGTCACTCAAGTAAATTTATATTTTTTTTAAATAAAATAAAACTCAGTAATATGAATGTAAATCACTAGCTACAATAATAACATTTTTTCCAATTCTGTATACAAGGGAACAAATAATGGAGACAATAATACAAACATCAGAAATGTGCTATGTACATAATTTTTATTGAAATGATATTTCATCACTTAAAACTCCTTATGAAATTTTGCTTTATAAATGCAAATGTAAACAAGAAGGTTTTGTTAGTGAACTCATCTTTTCCAGCTACAGGAACAGAAAATGTTCAATAATTTTAATGCTTGTGATCATTCAAATATTCTTTTTTTAAATTTCTTGATTTCTTTTCTTCTTTCCTTTTATTTATTTCCCTTCTGAAAAAAAGTTATTATAGCAAAATAAAAGTTATTATAACAAAATAAAAATGAATAGGTAAGTATTTGAAATGATCCCTTTTTCTTCTAACACTAAAATTTTCAACTTCACATTGCCCACGAGTGCTTTTCTTTCCCTCACACTCAGTCCATTACGAATATAATTTTTCAGTTTCACTACTGAAAATTATTCTCAGTGGCACACTAAATTTTAGCATGATGATTACAAGTTTGTTACATTCACATTGCTGACTTAAGGAAATGTCATTGAGGAATCTTGAAATGGTCTCGGTGAAAACACCGTTATCCTTTTTGTTTTTCGCACTCATGTAATCAGCACTCACAAGGGCCTCAATGTGTAAAGTCTCTGCTCGATCTCAAAGAGATATTGAATTTTTCTCTGTTCTCAAAAGAGATCAGAAGTAATTCTCAAAGGCAGAATGAGAGGCCTTATTAGCAAACAAATCAGCATCAATGAAAAAAATCCAAAACATTTGACTGACTGGACATCTTACTTTCTCATTTAGATATTTTACACTTCCTGGCCCAGATACCTCCACTTGCAGAGAAAGACAAAACATTACAACACAATTAAGAAATTCTTATTGATAAAAGTCTTAAAATTGTAACAATATTTGGCATTTTGACAAACATTATAACAGGCATTTTGACAAACATCCGAATTCTGATCATAAACAAAAGCATTTAATTAACATATCTCTGTAAAAAATTGTATGATGAGCCAAGAACTAAATGAAACACACTTATTGCATGGTCATAAGTCATATTTACTTGTTACCTACAATTTTAAAAAATTGATAAAACTCAGTCAATTCAAGAAAGAAGTTGCGTAATACCTATGTGTATTAGAGATCATATATATTTAAAGTTCATTTATGGCAGCAAATGCTAAAAATTATAAGAAATAAACTGTTTGCTTTCAAACAGACATTAAGACATTTTAAAAAGTTTTTAATATTGATTCACAGGTAACTGAAAAATTGAAGGAAAAATACATTTTTTTTGTTTTAAATAATAAGGAATTCACAAATAAACTTAGAAATCATGGGAATGAAATTATTTAATGTTTTACATCTTACCAGGTAAAGCTGCTTCCATATTTGTACCCATTCTCTCAACACTAGTGTTACTTCTCGAACCACGGGATCTTCCAAAGGAATGACTGATTCAAAGAGTCTGCAAAGGAAAGTTTGATATTAAAAATCTTGGCAATTGCTACAAACACTAACAAACATCACAAATAAACTACACAACACACATTACTAACTTGCCAGTAAGAATGAAACTGTATCTAGCATTTGAAATCTGAAAACATACTTCATACTGGTTTACACACCCAATTTTTTTTTTCTTTTCTTTTTTTGTAAATCATATCTTAAGAAACAGTATCACATAGAAACAATTGAACAATTTGATGATATGATACAAGGATCAAGATTTGCTGGACATTATTTACGAACACAAATTAGAAGCCAGATTTAAAGCAACCAGAGATCAACCTCGTTAACTCCAATAAATCATTTTAACAAATTGTTGTTTTAATTAAAATTCCTACAAGCATCTAAATAACTTTCTTTTATTTACCCTACAAATTTTATGTGCTAGAAACATTCATACTCGCAATATAGAATTCTATGAATCTATATCTTGAAATTTCAAAATCATATTATTACAAAATGTTTACAGCATAAAAATAGAAATTAATAAATAGTTTAAAAGACAAGGAGTAATCAACGCATATATAAAAAGAAAATCGGAAAACAAGAAAAGAAATTCTGTGAAGAACAGAATGATGATTATAATTAGGAAGATTGATAATTTTTTTACTAGTAAAATACTTTAGAATAAACATTACAACTTACCCTTCATTGTCAACTTTACAGGGTTTCAAATGAACATAGGAACAAGGGAAAATTCCCTTCACAGACCGGTTCTTTGTAGAGAATCCTCTGTACCAACCTGTTACAAATTAAACAATGTCTGAGGCCAACAATTCTACAAATTTATTCATTTGATACTTATATTTATTTTTTTAAAATTTAATGTAATTTATGAACATTATTTACTAATATCACATTAATTTATGAGATTATGAACATTGGCAAGAAAATAATTATTAGCTTCATGAACCAATATGTAGGCGGTGATGGTGGTAAGACACTCAAGTGACTGACCTATTTGAGGAGTCACTTTCAATCGCAACTGACTAACTTTTGACACACGATTTTAATAAGTTAATACATTATATTGAAGGAATTTTCAGCATTCTTTATCTGACATTTCAGTAACTTTAATAATACACATTTCTTCAAATATATTCTTGTTAGCAAAACAATCAAACAATAAGAAAGTGTTGAAGATACATACAAAAGTACTATTTTCTCAAAATGAGAGTAATTTTCTTGCTTTAAATGAATCACATTCTCCAACAGCTATGTTGTTTGGTCACAACGTGAAAATACAGTTATGTGGGAGTATCAGTACTTTTGAGAAGTTATTTCCAATCAATTTATAACAATTAAAGCATGTATTAGTTATCAAACCATTGCTATTTTTATGACAAATTTTTCATTTTTTTTCCATTTTTAACAGAAAATTTTCTTTTTATTTGACTTACCTCGTTATGCTCAGTTCACCAATAAATAAATAGTAAGTCATACAACAGCCCGTTCATAAATAACTCTGAAATCTTGAAAGTAAATTGTGCATACTAAGAAGATTAATGTATTTGTTGGGAATTACGAAGAAACTCAAAATGATACAACGTCCTTGGGAATAAAAATAATCACCTTAAACTTCCCGGGTAGTGGTGTTCTCTGTTCGCGGGCATTTAGTTATTAGTTCTAACGTTCGCCACCAGAGCGCGTCTGTCCGCCACAACCAGCGCACTCTGACGGTACTACTGAAAAGCTCGTAATTGTCATCATTGGCACGTACATCCCACGCAGTTGAGGCAATAGGCGTTATGGATACTTACCCGCACACTCTTCCAGGATTTGAACGGTATCGCCAATCTCCAATGGAAGTCCATAGCGTGTGTCTCCTTTCCAGTTGTAGACAGCTGCAGGCAAAGAAAAGTAAGGAATATTAACGTTTAAAAAATGCAATTGAAACTTACGAGAGAAAATGCAACAGGAAACCAAAAACGAAAAAACAGGGGGCAATGAGAAATTTCAGAAATCATCAACAAGATCAAAATATTTAGAGGCAAATGCCTGTGCTCTAAACAGCATTCCCATGATAAAATGGAAGGAAAGTGAGGAAAAGTCAACTAGTAATTCCCGAAACGTAATATTTTTGTTACTGCTTTACGCACTGAACCACTTTGTGATTGCTCTCCTTCTCTTGGCAAAAAAAAAGAGAAAAATTGAAATGATAAATAACCTTTAAACATGTACTAAAAATGAACATAAGATGAAACTTTATAGCATTTATAAATAATGTTTAATTTCCTGGTTTGCTAACGGTACTACTTTGTAGTGATAAAGAATCTGAAAATATTGAATTGGAAAACAGCAGGCTCAGTTATAAGCGGAATCCTTTTCTTAATAGCTATTAAAGAAGTTACTAAAGTAATTAAACCAGTTAAAATGTTTCTCTTCGCTGACGATATTACCCTTCTTTGCAGTGAAAAAAACTGAGTTAAACAGTGTTGAGATCCATGCCGAAAGCTCTAAATTCTATTAACAACTGGGCTACCAAATCCGGTTTCGTTTTATCAAGAGAAAAATCGGAATTTATTATTTTTTCCAAGAATCAAAAGAATTTCCAAGCAGAAACTGCTCTTAAAGTTTGCGAATATCTCCTATGGAAAGCAAATGCATACGAAGTACTTGGCATGCTATTTGATCACAAACATACTCGGAAGAATCGTATTACTTCTCTCAAATCAGAGTGTATGTTTATAATAATTATTATTAAAATGCTGTCATCTCTAAAATAGGGAGCTGAAGTTTCTACTCTGATTAACGTATACAGAACAATCATCCAATCCAAATTAGAGTTTGGATCTGATGGGTACAGCTCAACAAATAAAATCCTCCAAGAGAAACTGGATCCTGTTAATTAATACAGCTTGTCGTTTATGCCTGGGGGCTTTCAGAACCAGCAACAGCATAATGGAAGAGGCTGGTTTTCGTCCCTTATATTTACGAAGGAAATGTCAATGCTTAAAATTTGCACACTCTACATACATCACACGTTTCCAAACCCCGCTTTTCAACAAACCTCCAATCCTTCCAAAACATCACAATATGTTCGCTATCCAAATTATTCAAGCCCATACGTCAAAGAGTTATCAATTACCGAACTGAAATTAACATTAATTCTCCTTATTCTTTCTAGAAGTCTTAATCCCACCTCTCCATCTATAAACCTAGGAGCAGAGCCATTGCCATATTCATAAGCCCCAAAATAAGCACTCCTACACTTATTTTCTGAACTCGCCGAAAATTTCAAAAAACTTTCGAACTATCAACACGGATTGTTCAAATCGGGGGTTAAGATCTGGACGTGCCGTTATATCGTGGTTCAAAAAATGGTTCGTGTCTGGGGCTCAGACTATTTTCTATATATTTTTGGGGTCGCTAAATCCTAATCCGGTCTAAATCCTAGTCCATTTTACTACTTTGCATTAGGTTTATGACATAACCTCAAAAAACATAAAAAATGAAATATTTCTGATCGAGGGGTTACACCATGCTACCTATATGTTTTATGGGTCGTTGAAACCGAATCTGAAGTCCATCTAACTTCATCACATACGATTTTTTAAATGTAGATCAATTTATATTTATTGAGAAGGTGTCATTTGCTCCTGACGGAACAACACTCATCACGTTTTTGCATGACAGATTGCCTATATCGTTGACGCCAGGTCACTTGCATTCCCTCCAAGCAAAGGTTTTGTATATTTTTGAAAATTTTAATTAGAGGTTATGTGAAATATCTGATGTGATGAAGTTAAATGGACTTCAGATTCGGTTTCAGCTACAAAAACATATCGGTAACATGGCCTCTGACTCTCGGTTCGAAAATATATTTCATTTTTTATACACAGCTAAAACAGCAATTACACTCCCAGAAATTGAAAAAGGCGCAGGTGATATCCTAGAAGACTTAAATATCCCCCCCCACTCCATAAGAAACTTTTAGGACTGCAAAAGAAAATAAATTCTTCCGAGAAGAAATATATTGAAAAATTTTCTATCAAACACACAAATTAATAAAACTCGCCAGACTATACTCAATATAATATTTGACATATATTCAACATAATATTGAATATGTGTCAAAATATCAAACAAGCAGTAGTTTTATTTAATACATACCCTGAAGAGCTCAGCGAAGTAAAATATCCATAGAACGTGCCTACATAGTATCTGACGTCACAATGATGCATAAGACACGACGACCAAAAAAAAAATTATTTTTTTTTTTGCTAATACGAATAATAAAAGGCGGTTAATAGTGATGTTGATTACAAAGTTTTTATGAGCAGGAATGGCATGCCAACAAGCGAACACCGATGCAGACAGCCCGAAAACGACTACAGGTTTGTCCTTAGATCCAACAAATAACACTGATTATAGTTTGTGGAGATTTAGTTCATCATTCGGCAACATTGAGAGTTCCAAGCATGTCAATGTGCCTTTTTTTAATCCCGAGAAAGACAACGTTGTTAAACTACGTTTTCCCGTTTGCTGCTTTAAGTGAAACAATTACTGACAACTTTGTTTTCTCACAAGCAATGAGTGGTTGCGAAAGCACCTCGGCATTGCTCAAGGACGGGAAAGCGAATTTCTGACTACAACATTAATCTTGCTGGCCATAAAATTATTCAAGATCACCAATGCAACTAATGAGATGGTTGCTGATGTTAGCGAATCTTTTCTGGTTTCACTATTTAACTCTAGTGCCTTGAACAGTTGACAAAAAGCATTAATAATACTTATTTTTTCGCTCATCAGTCCACTTTAATATTTGAAAAAGATGAGTCAGAAAAATTGTCCGGTTTTAAACATTCCCCCACTCCAATAGTCGCGGTTGCGTGCAAATGATAAGATTGTAAATACACTGCGCCAACGGAGACGGTGATGGTGATAGCCAAGTGCACAATCTGATGAGTAAGCTAAGGCGACTGCCGCAGAGCAGTTTTTTTTAAACAGCGAGATAACAGACACTTGGAGCTACTGTGGTGTACAATGGGCCTAAACAACTCTAAAAGCGCATGCGAAGCGTATTTTCTCCGAATTCCAATTAACATTACCCAACTGGAACAAATGAAGAGATATGTTTCGACGGAAATAAAACCAAACAAAGAAAGTCCATTTTACTCACTTGATCTTACGTTTGGAAACACAGGCTTATGTGTTTCAATGTGAGAATAAAACTTTGTTTCAAATTTGTGTTTATCAAGTTCCTTTTTTTTATTTTATGAAAGAGAGTACATTGAAATGTAAAGATAAGGAAAATGAATAATAATTGACACACAAGCAATCAGATTAGAGCCTATGCATATTTCACACTACTCCTACCATGAAAAAATTTCCAGAGGAAAGAATTCAAAGATGAACGAAAGTGGTTGATTTCCAAATCGTGGAGCTATTAGAGGCAGATAATTTCGTTCATAACAGATATCAAAGACATCACACCGTGAGTCGTTTCCTTTTCGGCCGAGAGTGTGTGCACTTCGTGTAAATGCGAATGTATGGTAAAACTACACTGTCAAAAATGTATCAGTGTTACGTTAATGTAATTTACATTAAAATAATTATCATGAACGCACATTAAATTTAATGTACACATGTACATTAGGATACAAAAGCCACAGCTTTATTGTTGGTTATATCATGAATGAATGAATGAATGGATTAATGAATGAATGAATGAATGAATGAATGGATCCTGATGGACTTGTGATTATTAATACATTATATGAATGTTGACTGGCAGGGGAAATAGAAGATTGTACAATATTTCTACATTATATTTACACTGATTTTAATTTAAGCATTAAATTCAATGTACAAATATATTAAGTTCTTTGTAATGTACAAGATACATTAAGTTTCATACACATTATTACATTATTCCACATTAAATTTAACGACATTTCTGATAGAATAGGCTTAGGTATACTGTGCAGAATGGCGTCTGGTGGTGAGCGGCGGGTCCATTAGGCGTTGCGCGCGGGGTGGGGTAGGGCGAGGGGGGCGTAGCAGGAGGGGCGCGAAGGGGCGTACGGGGCAGGCAGGCAGAGCAGGACGTGGCGGGATGGGCTAAGCAGGGTGGGCGAGGTGGTGAACAGGGCGAGGCGGGAGCTGTGGCGGGGCTGGGAGAGGGCGAGAGAGTCGAGCCGGGCGGGGCGGGCACGGGGCGAGTGGCGAGGCGAGAGCGAAGCGGGGGAGGCGGGTGTGAGAGGCGTGGGCACGGCGGGCGGGGATTCAGGGGGGCGGGGCGGAGAGGGAGGGGCGGTGGGACGGGAGGGTGTGTCAGGAGGATGGGATGGGAGGGGAGCGTGATGGGTTGGGCGGGGAGGGAGCGCGGAGGTGGGGCGGGGAGGGAGCGGAGTGGGGCGGGAGGGGAGTGGATGGAGTGGGAGCGGGGGGGGAGTGGAGGTGGGGCGGGGAGGGAGGTGAGGCGAGTCGGGGCGTGGGGTGGGATAGGGCGCGAGGCAGGCGCGGGGACGGGGAGGAGCGGGGTGAGGCGGGGCGGCGTGGGGGATCGATGGGCTGGTGCGGAACGGTGGCGGGCGGGGAAATAGTGGGTGGGGCGGGGCGGGGAACGTGGGTGGGGCGGGGGGCGGCAATGCGGCGGCGGCCGACCGCAGGCGCGGAACGGACAAAGGGCGTCTTCGCTCACTCAGAGGCCAGAAACGTCCGCCAGTTATTTGCGCTCGCAGGCGGTTGGTGCGACTGCGACGCGAATTGCGCGGCTTTTGAAGCGGCGTTCGAGGCCAGGGGCTGCGAAAGTGCCAGGAAAAAGTCCGGCGAACTTGGGTCGTGACAACGCGTTCAGCGGCAGGTTCAATTTGCGCTTATCAGGCAATTGATCGTTCCG